AAGGCTAGAGCCCAGTGTGTTCCCAGCTCTGGCGGCTCCCTGACCCCTCTGATGGTTTTGTGAAAAGAAGGAATTAAAAGTCTACGCTGTTGGAACTCTAAATTATTTTGAGCCTTAAAGGAATTTGATTATAGGACCCAAGTCCCAGGGACAGGCTTAGGCAGTGGTGACCTTTGTTTTTCTGATTATGGGATCAGCCTTCTTTCTCACCTGCATTGTTTTGTGAAGTGTTGTAAATGGTTGAACCAGGCCGAGGAAGCCCCCTTCCCTCTCCACTGTTGAATTTCGTTATAGATTAACCTCCCTCTTACCTTTCTCACACTCAGACTCGCATTGTCTTAAAAAGAATGTTAATTTATTCTCTTAAGTTGGAAAGGAAATTAAAACCAGCTATAAGGAAAAGCCATAAGGAAAAGAACACAAACTGGAATAATTTGTTCTAACTCTTAAGCCAGCCTTGTATAGAAAATGTTGTTATCCTGTTAAATTTCTTTGTCTTCTTCCTATATGAGCAAGAACTTAACTTTTAACTTTAAGCACTGACCCTTTTTCTCTGGAGTGTGTGAGTTTTGGAATGGCCATTCCCAACTTTTCACTAGAATAAATGATTATTATTTTTTTTTCCTGGCTTCAAGGGAACCAATTTCCAAAGCCTTAAGGTTCCTAAGTTTTCTTCTGAAACTTGGAGAAAACACCAAGCCTTCCCAATAACCCATCCATCATTTACAAAAGAAAGGCTGATCTTTATCCATCCCAAAGATTATCAAGGAGCATTTCCATAGTAACAAAACAACAACAAACCCCTCTTTAGTCCTAGGTTGCCAAGGTGAAACTGTCTTTCCCTGTTTGCATGTATATCATGAAGGGCGGAGCTTGGCTTTTAGGGTTGGGGGGATTGTTTGAACTCAAACACCTTAACCAAAGGGTCAGAGATAATACTCGCCAGTACTGGGCGCTGACATCACCTGCCTTCTCAGGTATTTCGTGGAGAAGGACACAGCATCACTTCTGTGGTCGTCCAGCCAAAAATGCAGACCTGAATCTAATCATGAGGCCCAACTGGGGAACATTCTACAAAATAACTCGCCTGCGGTCTTCAAAAAGCATCAAGCTCAAGACAGACAAAGGTTGAAGCAGTGTTCTCACATCTTCTGGAGTCACGACCACCAAATGCAATGTATAGTTCTGGATTCCATCCTGAAAAAAAGAATCTATAAAGGAAATTATTGGGACAACTGTCAAAATGTGAATACGGACTGCGGACTAGACAGTAATATTGTTTTAACATTAAATGTCCTGACTTTAGTAATCTTGCAGGACAGGGATTGAGCAGGACTCTCAGGAATAAAGCCTAAGCTTTGGGATAGCAGAGCACCATCTGATGCCAGGGTCCAGCTGGGTTTTCTAAAGTCCAAAGAAAACAGTTCTACTGGAACTATGTTGACAACTTCTGCCCTAGAAGCTGGGGCTGGTTGAGTGTTCAGATGGGCACAGGTGGGCACTGGGAGCTAAGATTCACCGTCCCCCACAACCTGCCCCCAATGCATGCAGCCCCTTGTGAGATACACCACGGCCTGCCCCAAGGCACGTCACCCCTCCTTCAAAAGCCCATGGTCTCCTTTAGTCGGAGAGACAGATTTGAGGCAGCTTCTCCTGACAAGAAGTCTGTAGAATTAAAAATTCCTTTCCGCCTTGGCAATCCTCATTGTCTCAATAACTGGATCTTTGTCTTAATAATCGGATCTTTGTGAGATGAGCCACTAGACCTAGACTGAAATCCCCTTGCGTTTTCGACGACACAACACAATCATAGCCATCACAGTAGTGTCCCCAGGTACCTGTGGGGGGATTGGTTCCAGGACCCCCCACACACACCAAAATTTAAGGATGTTCAAGTTCCTGACATAAAAATGGTGTAGTATTTGTATCTAACCTACAAATATGCCATTCATTCACTATAGGACCCTGGACAATTGCGTGGTAGCCAGCACCCTGGTTCTCAGCACGGGGCTCCTGGACCATTAGCTTCAGCACCATCTGGGAACCCGTTAGAAATGCATATTCTAGGGCCCCACCCCTTACCTAAGGGATCAGAACTTTGGGCGTGGGCCCAGG